CGAGTACACCTATCCCAAGGCGAAGATAGACGAATGTTGGGAGAAAGTTCTGCTTAACCAATGTCAGTTGAAGCGATGCTGTTTGCCTCATACATCTGTGCTTATTTTTGCTTTTCCTAGTCCACGATGGTAAGAAATATTCTCCTTGTACCGATACCGTTAACGCCGACTTCATTTTTCAGTGCTCCCTGGGTCTGCGATGTGAGCTTCTCCAAGTTTCCTAATGCATATCTTCTGACGCGGTTTACAGTGGAATGGTTTACGATGACGCTGAAAAGCTCTACGCAGAGGTAGCAAAAGACGGCAAAGCTCTCATGGAGAAAGCCTTGCAGGTCCTGTTCCAAAACTCGATCCCTCTCACTCCAGAGACCAAACTCCAAGCCAACACGTCACTGAACCAAATTATCGGCTATAACACGACCTTTTTCAACCGCCGAGAGATCATCAGGGTACCCCTGGCTGGGGCGTCTGCTGGACTCAAATCAGCTGTGGCCACAGGTGGATCAGAATGGTAGTATCGGGTATGCGATTATGGATAATGGTATCCTTGATGCGTCTATCAGTAATCATCTGGGAGAGCTACATGCTTCTGGTGCGTCAGAGTTTCCTTATAACATCTTCACTTTTGATAGGTTTTTGCAGCATATACCAACGGTTCTGATCACTTTGTGTTGAGGAACTCTAGCGTGCAATTGACCATTTCAAAGGGCCGGATTACGAGTCTAGTCGACGTTCAGCTTGGGTGTGTTTATCGTTATTGTTTGATTTGTGTATACTCACTGACACGATTTCCTTCCAGTCGCGAATTGATAGCCGATGGACAAACAGGTGGCCTGGTCATCTTTTGAAGATCGGCCCAACTATTGGATGCGTGGGGTTGGTATCCTCTTTGACTAATTAATTTGTCGAAGAAGTTCATGAATCTATTTTCTTGCTAGACGTTGAGATCCACCATCTGGAAACTCGGACTCCGTTGGAGTTCACCAACGTTGCAGTCGTTGCGCATGGACCGCTGCGTGCTTCGGTACAAGCCCAAGTCAAGTATGGCAAGAGCATTATCAACGTCCTGGTGTGTATTCATAAAATTATATCATTTACTTCAGACTGACGCCGTTTTATAGATTTCTCTGGATGCTGTTAGCGGTAAGGTTTCGCAGTTTCACCAGTAATTCTTTTCCCTTATCGGCTTTTATAAAGCTACTGTCAAACCCGGTTCTCGATCTATGTTCAGGTTCGACGCAGATGTATCCTGGCGAGAGCGCCACAAAATTCCTCAAGTGTAGGTCGAGTATCCCAATTTCGGTGGACTCATTACATATTGATCCTTTTTTATTATCCAGTTGAGCTTCCTCTCAGCATCCATAACGACAACGCTATATACGAAACTCAGTTCGGATATGTGCAACGTCCTACGCATAAGAACACGACATGGGATACTGCCAAGGTGCGTGTATCTCCTTCACAGGAACCAAAAGTTCTTAGATAAGTCCATTGCTTCTAGTTCGAAGTTTGTGGCCACAAGGTCAGATTCAGAGTAGATTGAGATTGTCGTCCTGGCTAATTCTCAACTAGTATGCCGACTTGAGTGAATACGGCTACGGAGTAGCCATCCTATCCGAATCAAAATACGGATATTCATGCCGAGGCAATGTTTTGCGCATCTCTTTGCTCAGGGCTGCGACAGCTCCGGATGCGGAGCAAGACCAAGGTCTGTTGTAATGTTCCCCTGTCTCTGTGTTAATCTTTACTCTCGCTATATGACAGGCGATCACCAATTCTCTTGGGCCGTGATGCCTCACAAAGGGCACTTTTTGGAATCAGATGTCCCAATGGCAGCCTACTTATTCAACTCACCTTTACACGGTAACTGTTCTGGAAGCGGAAAGATCTGGATTGAATCTAACCTACTCTTTTGTTTCCTTCTAGTTCGCTATCTTCCAGGCGTAAACGACGCTATTGCAGCATCATATACCAACCGTCCGTCATTCGTGGTCCATGGTGCCCCGAATGTTTTCCTTGAAACCATCAAACGTGGGGAGGACGATGACTTCGACAGTTCCTCTCAGTCTGATGAATCTACGACCACCATCGTAGCACGTCTCTACGAAGCCTTCGGAGGACATGCGCAAGCAAAAGTGACCTTTGGAGGTCAGTTTTCTGGAAAAATCGTTAAAGCTGTCACTACGAATCTCCTCGAGGATGAAGATGAGGACGAAGAGGTGCAAATCGTGGACGCCGATGAACTAGGGCCGTCGCTGAAGCTCGATTTCCGGGGATTCGAGGTGAAAACGTTGAAAGTGACTCTGAAAAAGAAATCGGATGTTTATCGCGGTCGAACACCGCCCCAGGGACAGTCCAAGAGAGTGTGAGTGAGATTTTGCTAGAGGAGTTGTATCTGTTATAAGGTTTACGTTTAGGATGAAGAGAAGCAGCTGGGTTGAGATTGACGGGTCGAGACTGGCTGCGAGGGATGAGTAAAAGTTGGCCAGAATCTGAAGTAGTAGTACTAGTAGTATCTATGTACGAAGGACAATCTATAGTCAATAAAGTCACTAGCTGGCAAAAAAACACATGAAAGTGATCACAGATAAAGCCGCTGACGTCAGACGTGTCTCGAACAAACTTCTTTTGTTATCAACCACGATGCACTCGCCAGACAGTTCTACAGACCAAATGCCTTCATCTACCTCTAGTAACGCCCCAGAATTTACGGTGATTTATCGAATCGGCTCTATCCCGCTCATCTCGTCATCGCTTGAAAAAATGAACGGCACGTTGTGCTCAAACGCTTACACGAGCTCACCGTACCATACAGCTTTGGGCTTGTCCAACTCGGCCTACAATTCGGCCTCCAAGTTCGCTGGACCTTTCCAAGCTCATCTCGCTCCTCTTATCATTCGTGCTGATGGTATCGCCAACATGGCTGTCGATGCGGTTCAAAAGCGTTGCCCTAGCGCTTTCACTGCTACTCCCGAGGATATCATGGGCTACGTTCACGAAAGACAAAAGAATGTTGGCGAGTTTGTTAAAGAGAGACGACAAAGCGCTGGTGTCGTCGTACAAGACATCGATAAGGTTAGTTGGCTGTTCCTTTTTCCCGATTGAAGTCTCACATGCGCAGAAATTTTCACCGGTTGTAGACTATCTACAGGTCGCCGTTGACCGTATCGATACCAAAGGGAAGGAAAACACGCCGTGCACGAATGACGCGACAGTAATGCAGTATCAACGCGCTCTTGAGCTGTCGACCCGTCTCAGGGACCAGCTCCAGACTTACTCGAACGAGCAAATGAAACAGCTTGAGGCTCACTCTGCCCTCGTGTACGTTTTATCATATTTCTAGCATTGATCACTGGTTGACACTATCGTCTTTAGACATCACGCCACAGAGACTGCTCGCTCTCTCAGTAACACCGCTTCCTCATCCATCGTTCACGCTCAAGCAAGAATGACCGCTGTATCTGACAACATGATCGCCGAGCTTGGGAATCTCCAGGTTCAAGCCTCTGCTCTTTCTGATTCTCTACGAAAGTCTGCCTCTGAAGCCCTGAAAGACCCGACTGCTCAGCTCCCTCCCCAAATTCAACAAAAATACGTTGATCTCGTTTCGTTGATACAGGCACAGACTTCGACAGCCTCAGCTACATGCTCAGACTTCTCCAGTCGTATCTCCACAACTGTGTATCAGCTACGTGAGATCATGGCGACGGAGAATGTTTCCATCCAGGAAAAGGCTACGATGATGGCGCAGGAGGTCTCTGCCACGGTCCAGCCTTTGTTGCACGCACTTGGCAAGAACGTTCAGGCCATGACTGGAGGGAGCAATGAATCTCGGCCTACTCAGACTAGGGATGGCAACGAACACGCTAATTAACTTTTAACTTTCTGTTTTGGGGCCGACGGCTTGTTTTTGTAGATTGATAGACTTACTTTATACCGGTATACGCTCACGCTCTTATATCCTGAACCACTGTACTTATATCGGAACCGTTAAACGTGCATACACGAAAGACGTTTTCCCATCGAGTCGAAATCACTGCTAGTATTACCCTCCGAAATATCATCTTCCGGTACGGGTCGCTCAAAGGTATGTGCGCTTCCTGGATCTAATATCCAGAATGGCATCATCTCAATAGACTGTCCTCGCGGCTCGGTTCATGTCAAGAAGAACAGTTTACGTCGTGTCTACCTGTCCGCGGATCGAAAGCTGGAACGTTCGTAACGTGTTCGCGTTTGATTTGAGCTGTGGACGAGATGCCGTTGAATAACTCGAGAATAGTTTGAAGGTTGGACATTTCAGAAAAAGTACTAGCCGCTTCGCTTGGAGATGATAGATAATGATCTACGTCCATAAGCGCCGGCAGTGGTCAAGTTTCTCGTTAAAACACTATGTACGTGCTTATTATGATTATAACGGCCTTTAAGAATTTCAACTAAGTATTGTAAGAGACTCTAAGACGGAGCTCGAGGGTGATGCAGTACATACGTGACCGGGTAACTGGGCACTAGTTAACGACTGCTTCGATTAGGTACTAGGCCTAAAGCAGTCCCCTTCAAGAGTTTGCGGTTGACGCGAGAACCCTCTAACGAGGGCTCGGCTTACAACCCCTTAGAGGAAACTGCTTCAGGTCTAATTAGGTACGTTGAGCCAAAGTAATAATTATGACGCTTCTCTTATTTCTGGATTTACATCGAATGTTCCCCGTACATACCGAAATAACTCTCAATACATGGCCCTGTCAGCGAGCTGAGCTCATACTGCATCTTACTTGCGCACCTGTACATGTTGTACATAGTGAGGAAGTTCTCCATGCTTCGCCGTTGTATGTCAAAACGATGTTCAACTTCCAGCTGATACTTACATAGATGTTTGCAGGATATGGAGTTTTCTTACGCTGTTTGTAGGGCGACTAAGTTGAATGAGTTGAGCAGATTGAACCAGAAGCGGTAATCGTTCATATAAAATTCTCAAAAATAGGAATAGCCTAGCAAAGAAAACATGCAACAGAGGGAGTCGAACCCCTTTCCCGGCCATCGACTCATGTGACCTTGTCACCTGTCCTTGGGAAGACCGGATCATAACCGTTAGACCACTGTTGCTTCCCTAGTTACCGGTGAGATTCGATCATATGTACTCAACTATAGAGCAAAACCGATGCCACGAAGACAATGAAATCAAAAAATTATGCGAGCCCAGTTTGGATCTTTGGACGTTCAAGTCCTCCACAAAGGCAATCCTGCATTGACAATCGTCAATTTACGAAGCACGCCGACGGTGATACCCCCTTTTGCGGAATACCAAGCAGATCAAACCACTCTCGATGCCATCGTTAGGCAACCCCCGACGACGCAGTCCAAAGGACATCAAACCACACTCATTCAGTCCCTCCTGCTCCAATGAAGTACCCACCAGCCGATAACAACCGATGGGCTCCAAACACTTGCAAAATCCTAGAACTCATCTACCAACAACGTTCTTGCTCTCGAAGAGCAGTGAAGAGACATATGAAACCATCCGAGATAAATCAAGGCCAAGCCACGCATTGTTCCAGGGAGCGTTCGAACTGACTGCTCGCCACCAAAAGAGATCTAACCGCCTCCACATCCACTTGTCTTCTAGTACGGGCATCCAGCAGCGACACATCGACACAGGGTCCAGAGGTAATGGAACCCTCACCAGTAGAGCTACAAACCAAGAGTGAACCACCGACACCCAGAGGGCTCAACCCAAACTACAAGTCCCGCGAACCGTCGAATGTCTGTAGACAGCCTGCTGCACTCGAGGAAGAACCTCTATTACCACATCCCGAGGGAGTAATAATTCACAGCGAGCAACAGACATCCAACTGGACAGCTAGGGACATTTCATCTGAGGGGCACACATTCTGAACTTAGTAGAAGCACGAAAAGGCGTAGACATCTGCAGGATCATCGGACACCAAACTCTAGACCGAGGAAAGTAGACGGTTTTGAAACAAACTGGGGCAACGAAGAACAAGGCATGCTAGAAGCGAAAAAATTCCGACGGGTCTTCGCAGTGGTAACCAGAAGGAACACAAATCCTGGATCTGACATGAGCTAAAACCTCAACTGGCACGAAATCCTGGATGAGGAGTCACTTCCCAGCACGAACGAAGTTGTCCGAGGACTAGTAGCAAGTGGGAGAGTCCTACTAAAGTAGCGGCGAAATACATCGTAGTCGGCCTTTCTGTCATGAAAGGTCACGATGTTGGGGCGGTTGATGCTGACTAGCCATACCAGGAATACCAACCAATGGCCATACTCACAAAAACTGCAGATAGAAAGCCAAATACCGGATGTTCCACACATCGAGCTTGTACCAAAGCTTCAAGTCCCTTGCAAAGATCGCCACCTGTCAAGTTGGCCCTGTAGATCATGCTCTTCTGTTCGAGTCCCTTGAGTGCCCATGCCAGCCCAATCCACATCCTATAAGTCCCTGATAGAATTCACCTCCGTAGCCGTCCGAGTTTCGAATGCATTCCAGCTTCTGGCCCTCTCCTTTGACCATTTACCAACAGCGAAATCACTGAGAGTAAAGAGAGATCAAAGTGGCCACGGCAGATGAAATACGGGCTAACTGCTGCCGGGTTTTGAACTAGACTTGACCCAACACGAAGTTGAGTAAGCTGAGTCCAGCGAAGGGAGGTCAAAAGACCAGGGCCACTAGCATCCTGTGCGTGTGCTTGAACCCCAAAGGGAAAACTCTGTATTGTCGATGGAAATGGTGTAAAAGCAGCCAGACAAGCTGGCGCCTGAAGGATCCTTGTTGGAGTAACTTGACCAAGTAAAACACCAGAAAGAGTGTCTGTTCGTAGATCACTGGATGGACAAAGAAAGCTCATTCTGAGACGACTGTGCGTAGCCTGCTCCTGCTCCTTCAACTAGTTACCGTAAAGGTCCTGCGTCTCAGTGCCAAACACGTGTTCGAACAAGGCGCGAATGAAGATCCAGCATTTCCGGCATCATCTATCCTTCGAACTTGCTCTCACAAAAAAGAACACAAGGTAGTGCTCGGTGCGTGAGTGAGAGAAAAACAAAGGAATCGAACGACACAGGCTGGATTCTGTGCGAGTTGCCAGGATGTTCAAACGAGGTGTATTTGAGGCAGTTTCTGGAGACGCAACGGAGGGAAAGAGGAATCATTGCAGGCGAATAATCATGAACAATCAGAGAGCGATATTCATCAAAACAAAGGACGTTCAGGCGTTAAGCTCCGCAAACACGATTTCACAAAGCACTGTTACTCTGCAGTGAGGGAAGCACAAGAGTATAAAGTAGCAGTATAGAGATGCATAATAGCCCAGAAGAACTTAGGGTTAGATATCACTTTTGGGTTGAAAAGTGCATCATGCGGCTGGAGGAGATGAAAAAGCAGGGTAGGACAGGTTAAGGGTGACGTGGACGGGTATCTGGAGCGTTAGAGATGCAAGAGACACAATAGCAGGTTTGAGAAATGGCAATTGGGTGTTGCTTAGGGTTCATCGGTGGTGGTGGTTTGCAAGAAACAAAGAAAAAAGTGACCGCGAATAATGAGTCTTTGTGCACGTGGTGATGACGTCACCCATCCTACCTACTTTCACTTTCACTTTCATGTCTCGAGAACTATCTTCGCAACACATCCTTCCGCATGCACTTGCTGTACCAGCTATCAAAAAGCTTTCTGGAAAGCGAATTGTTCTTGCTTCCAGCAGTCCAAGAAGACGGGAAATCTTGAGAACTATTGTGGGTACCTAAATCTTGGTTTCTTCACGCTGTACTGACCTTCTTCTTCTCGTCAGTAGGGAATTGCCCCAGATATCATACCGTCTGGCTTTGCAGAAGATTTATCCCCAGGATCTTTTACAGATATCCACGAATATCCCGTTGCTACGGCGAGCCATAAAGCCGTGGATGTTTATGAGAAATTAGTGGTACATATGTATCGCCTATCCCTTTTAATGTTGTCCTGACCTCCTTTAGGCCGAAGACCCAGATAGCGCTCCAGATCTCGTCATTGCAGCCGACACTGTTGTTCTTACTCATGCACAACCATCCACGTCTCAAATCGATTACACCCTACTTCCTTCCGTTGGCCAGGAATTGCTCGAAAAGCCCAAAGACAAAGCAGATAACCTGCGAATGTTGATGGACCTCAATGGTCAAGTCTGTGAAGTTGTCACAGGAGTGACAGTGGTGTATCCAATCCTTACGGCGCCTGGATATGGTTTACAATCCATCGACGAACGTTCATTGGTTTATTTTGCCGATAATCCTCAGCACATCCTTCAGGCTTATGTTGACTCTGGAGAGGGAATCGACCGAGCAGGTGGATTTGCAATCCAAGGTCTGGGTGGTGTGTTGGTGAGGAAGATCGAAGGGGATTATCAGAATGTAGTTGGATTTCCAATGGCTAGTTTCTTCAAGTTGTTGGATGTTCTGGTTGAGGAAGACGACGACTTTTTGGCGGTGTAGTAAATAATTCACCCTTGGTAGAATCACATTTCTGCAAATGATCATTTACTGTTAAACGTGCGAGGCTCAGTACGGACTTCAATTGAGTAAAGTTTGGGCGCTTATCCGTCTCGCGCGTTCATGTCGTCTTCAGATGGCCCCGCTACACATCTGCTATCGTTGAAAGTAATGCGGGTCTCTGTGAGTTTCTTACATATTTATCTACTCTTCAATAAACTGATATCATAAGCTTATAGCGACCCGCACTAGCTAGTGCATGGCAGCCATTCTACTCGTCATCTCCCTCGTTCTCGGCACATTCGACTCAGTCAATATTATCTTTACAAGGAAATACCCCTCTTCCCGGACATCCAAAGACTCTACGCGATCTCACACAGGCATCCGAACTATTAACTTTGCCTTCTTCGTTCGGTTCTATTCAGCTTGGAGAAACATTCTCTAGCTGTCTTTCTGTCAACAATGAAGCGACTACAGAGATCGGAATGGTTTCATTGAAAGTAGAAATGCAAACTGTCTCGTCAAAGCTTGTTCTTGCGGATATCGGAGGACAGGATACCAAGCTATCTCCCGGAGACACACTGGAGAATGTTGTCCACCACGAGATTAAAGAATTGGGCCAACATGTGCTTGCTTGCACTGTATCCTATCACTTTCCTCCCAGCTCCCGAGGGATACCAGCATCGGAAGAAACGTCCGATCCAAACCTTCTTACTTTCCGGAAATTCTACAAATTTGTGGCAAGTGCAGTCGCTGCTTCAGTATCTCGAATAAACCTAATTTCTGTCTCAGGTCACAAATCCTCTCTCCGTCAAGACCAAAGTACACGCTCCCAAGTCTCCGTCAGCATTGATGGTACCCGCAGAGCGCGATAAAGTCTTTCTCGAAGTGCACATCCAGAATCTTACACCTGAACCGATTTGGTTCGAGCAGATGCGTTTCGAGGCAGTTGAGGGATGGGATGCACGAGATGCAAACGTGATAGACGTTGAAGGAGAGCAGCAGAGTCTTTATACGGGCTCAACGGCGCTGATGCAACCCCAAGACATGCGGCAATACATCTACATCCTCAGCCCAAAGTCTACATCCCTGGAACCGGTGGTCCACGTACCTGGTACGATTGTGCCACTTGGTCGTATTGATATCTCGTGGCGATCGTCATACGGAGAACCAGGCCGTTTACTTACTTCCATGTTAACTCGACGAATACCACTACCGCCTCAGCCTCCGCAGACTCAACCGGCGTCTGCACTTCCGCCTTATTTGAAACGAGGAAGCACATCCACAACTCCCCAGTAAGACCTCGATCTCCTCAGCTCACCCAATCTCGTCCTAGCTCTCCTACCCCGCGGCCCAGTTCGCCTTCGCCATACAGAGCGCGCGCAGCATCTACAGTATCTGGAATTTCACAGGTTGCTCTACCACCACCACCCTCTCCCTCTAGCGCTATTCCTGCTACCACCATTGAAGCGAATCTAGTTCTGCGAGATCTCTGTCGTGACAGCATTCTTGTCGGAAGGCCTTTCAAAGTCCTATTCACTCTTGTCCTATCCTCACTTCTTCCATCGGAAAAGCAGCAACAGCGATTGCGGCTGTCGCTTGTCATCCAACATCTATGTTTCCCTCCTACA